GAAAAAGATGGGACGATTCCCCCGAGACATTCTATGAAGCTGAGGCGTCGAATCGGCTTACGTTACGGTTAGAGATTTCGGCTCTTCCACGCTATCCCGAGTGCACATAAAACTTAGTCTTAACCAAAAGGCCAGGGAGTGAGGGGGTAGCCGCCCACTAGAGCATACCTGTAGCTACCCTCTTAGACCATCGTACTATGAAGTCACTGTTAAATATCTAATATCAAATGGGGGTAGTCTATTCGGTGAAGTTCTATTGTTATGATAATAGTGACGTCAATACCCAAGGGATCTCGACGACCAATCAGATTTGAATGTGTTTGAGCAGAGATGGCAAGACTAGAGGGGGTGGGTTAGTCAATTCGCTGATGCTCTGCTGCGATTCAAATGTAAACAATCTATTCCCAAAGGAGGAAAAGAGCCAATCAGCATTTGATGAGATCCCACTGTTGTCAAATAACCATAAAGTTTATGTTTATGTCGGCCATCTTTGTTAAATTCATAATTTATATGATTTAAAGCCTTAGGTTGGGATTCAAAGATGAGAGAACAAGACATCATGGCAAAGACAAGGATCAAAAACAAACAAGGTTTGATTTTTGTAGTTTTATATATTTCATTGAACACARAAGACGGTGTACGCTGGCGAAACGAGTTGTTTAGTTAATTGACCACCAAAGTAAGAGGAAAGGATTCTAAAAGAAAATATGAATACTTGWACATCCGCATTTCATGTAAAACACCATATATTGGCCCTATAACTAATATCTCCGTGTTAGAGTAAGGGTTAGGCCTGTTATGGAGTCTTGTGGAGTGCTAGTGTAAGTCTAAAAGGCTGAATGCTCGCTTCCTGGTGGTAATATACTCTGACGTTTAATGATAGCAAGAAATGCCTGTCGATATTCCTGACCACGTCTCGAATAAATGAAAAAGTTTCCTACAGCGTTGATGTGTAAGATCCATATAGATAATGTATATACAATAGACGGTAGATCAATACCAAATACTCGTAAAGCCCTGGTAACGAGATATGGAGACCACGTGATCAGGAACATTAGAATAACCATCAAAATGACGGACGTTGCCTTGGATTCGCGACCTGTCAATAAAATAATCAATCGTTAGATGCGAATATTAAGAAAGTATTTAGCTGTCGCGGATACGATAGCATCGTGTGGGATGACGGGTAACCACTAACTAGGGGGTAAGGATAAGGCGGTTCTTCAGTCCCACTCATCCAAATATTGACGAATAACACTTTTCGAGTTTCTAATCACGATGAACTTAGACCATGTGTATTCATTAAAATAACGAGCCAACGGAAGTGGACTGCACAGTGTGCGWCTCATGCAGCCCATCCATCACGTTGACTTCAATACAAGTATGACGCACAACATGATCACCTGATGTAATTAACTTATTTACGAACTTGTTAAATATGACGATCAAGAGAAAACTTTTGTATTGTGTCCGGACCTGAGTTAAAGATATCGTAAATGCTAAAACTGAGCAGGTGAAAAGAAAAAAAAACACCAACAATATCTACTTGTAACAGTATAGTCAACAAAGTCCTTGACTAAAGACGTTGAAAAGAARAGTRATTCTTTGATAACTAGCATGATGAAGTGTCAAGTACACATCCAAAGTGAAAATCTGTTTGATCAGCAAATGYGTTTAACATTTCTTAACCACACAAGGGCACGTCATTTAAAACTTGTCAACGATTTATTGATTCAAAGACTAAAAGCAAATTAATTCAAAAATGTCGTCTATWGATAGAAATAGTTAGCATTGTGCGCGCTTCTTGTTAATATTCAGTGGAGTTGTTCACTTGTTTCTTCCTGTATCAACAAGCCTACAGGTAATTGTTATGTCACCATGGTGATAATAGGGTTAAGGAAGTGCCATGATCAATTAGGTAACTGAGTTCTATGCAGGAAACCGGTACAATATGATCCTCGACGTTCCATTATTAAATAAAGTTCACGGAGTATTGCTGGCTGCATACTGTGTTTGAATACAAATGTTTACGAGATTTGCACGAAAAAGTTAGAAAATTTCGAGAGTAAATTAGTCAGTTTCTGGAATCATCAAAAGGATATCTTCAYCGTTTTTAAACAATAGCGTTAATGAATGAGAGATGAAAAAAACTCATTAAAATAGTTCATGGGGAGCGCGGATAATAGCGCTAGTAGTCTACAGATATCATAGCATTATTTGCCTCGATTTCAGGTCATAACATTATCTAAACTGAATTCTAATTGATGTGAATATTTTGAGCTTTAAAGACCATTATTTCTTCAAGATGCGGAAAAAAGTTGAAGAAAAGTACGTCCATGCAAATGAGAACAATAAGCAAAATCGAACAACCATATACTCAAMTTTTAAATAGAAATATTGAAATCAACAAACGAGAAATCTCATGATTATGGATGACATATCTATGATGTCTTAGCGTCATCCTTTTACTGAGGTAATTTGACGGCAATGGACTTACATGCCACTTAACCTGAATTAACTGTGTTATTAATCAAGCTGATTAAAACACGTTTATATTGACATAGCCTTTTTGGACTTGTATTCTCGTATTTATTTTTCATATGGTTTCGATAAGGARTAAGGGTAAATTATTCTTACCTCTTGTTCTGTTTCTTGGTGGACCTTGTCCAGTGTACACCTGCACTTCTGATGCTATTTGTTTATGGTGTGACTTAGCAATAGACAGCACTCTAAGACTTGTCAAAGCCACAAACAAAAATGGAAAAACAATGTTCAGCAGCATTGACAACAAAGCAAACCATAATGGCGACTTCTGCCACGCTACACCACAATCTAGACTTACTTCATCGAACTCCATATCTACGAGTAGTAGAGTGAAGATGGTGAAAAACGTTGAATGAAGCCATGTATAAGAAATCATAAAAGAGATCGCCTTGAAAGTAATTCTTGCTCGATATCGTAAAGGGTCACTCATGGCAATAAATCTATCTATTGCTAGCATGACTAATGTTAATGTTGAAGTCAGTAATATCGGATAAGATAAGGTGCCTCCTATTTGGCATAGTAGACCGTTATCATTAATAATATCCAAATTAATAACGCTGGCGAGATGGTAGGGCATTATAACAGACGATGACAATAAATCTGAGATTGCTAAATTCAACAGCAAATAGTTACTAACATTACGACGAAGTCTGTGAAACCGTACAGTGGCCGCAATAACGAAGGTATTACCAACAACACCAAAAACTATAACCACGATGAGGAAAATCGACAGAAAAATTTTCTCTGCCAAAGTATACATGTCGACTTAGTGTAGTTTGTCAGGTTGTAGTATAACCAGTTCGAGGTGGTCTTGACAGTCTTTTATCTTCGTTTATTGTGTAGTGTTCGTGAACAGGTGCAACTACTGACGATTAATTCAATGACGTCTTGATAGGTTGTTCAATATCCAAGATGTTTGTTGACAATACCCACAAAAACCAACAATATATAGATCAACGGATGTTCAAGTTAAGGMTGAACTTGGTGTGCGATAGGTTGTCGACATTGAAGTACTTCTTTTATATATTTCCATCCAACATATTTCATGGTTTATACTGATGTAGCTTGAAGCGATCGTTTGTATGGACATAAAGCTGATTAACACGGCATAATTGCTGACTGCATTTGTTGTCATTAAATTAAGTTTTCTGTGTTATTTATTGCTTCCTTGTATTATATATTTACAACTGGACGGTAGGATATCGAATGCTGACGATTTCATAACAAGATAAAGTCAAGCCGGCCCTTGAAAGACTTAGTACCGAGGACGCAATTTATAACTAAAAACCAAGCAAATAGTTTTTCATACCCAGAATGCATTTAATTTGTTTGTTTTTGGAAACRAATTAAGCATTGTAGGAGGAATGGTTTTAATAAAACCGGCAATTTGTCATATCTGTTTGGTTTGATGTCATAATGTTACGTAAAGCTGAAACAAGATTAGATACCAATTATCAAGTGAACGCTCCTACCGCCTTCTTGTGATAAATTTAGTTATTTTTATATTCAATATGGTTATTATCAAGAGCTTCAAGTTCCATATCCCATATTTTTCATTTCTGAATTCGTTCCTTCTTTTATCTATTTATATATATATTATTTTTATTCGTGTTGTGTATTAATCAATTCATTTATTTGTTCGRTGTGTTTTTCATYGTTTTTTTTTCTTTTTCTTTTTTTCGTTTCTTTCTCTTAATCCTGTCACATTTATTCCAAGACTTTATTTATAAATCAGAGAGTTTCACTATCAAGTATATTCCGTGCAGGAAATGTTTTGTTTTGAGAGCTGTTTTGAGTATGTTATCAGTAGGATACTTGTATCTGTCCGAGAGAGTATTGAAACCTTCATAGTGTTGTTTTTCCGTTGTCAATCAGATGTTAAAATCATATCAATTATGACCCAGTATGAGTCTGTCATTCGTAATGATCATTTTCCATTTTCATCCATCTCTTTTTTTCTTTCATGTATCTATGCATTAGTYTCACAATATATTCATTCGTTCGCTCGCTCGTTTATCCATATATATTCATWTATTTAATCACTAAAAATCTGGAAAACGTAACAATTCAGCTTCTGGCWGCAGCGACGGAACCTCAATCTATATTGATTTGTTTAATCTTACGGATTTTGAACTGGAATTTCGTTTGGGCAGCGCGATTATTGCGAAAGAAATGGTGGCATTGAGTCMCTGAGTTTAAWTTATTCTGATTATTTTAACCCTGCTTAGAGCTYTATCTTGTTAAAATCATGTATTAAGGTTTTTATTTTTAGTCGCAGCCTTATTTCGTTCATCCGCTTTGCTTTAAATGAACAAAAATCTTGCGCACTAGGATCGGGAGTATGAATTCAAGCTCGTATTTAAACCATCCATCGTCTATTTTCTGTTTTTTTTTTATCGATTTTTCTTGTCCTTGCTGCTTGTATTTTTCTTGTCCTTGCTGTTTGTATTTTGCCATAGAAAGATATCAGTTGCCTTGTTTAAAAGTATATTCACCATTTAATCTATCATTGTATTAGTCTGTAGGGTAACAAGAACCAAATTAGAGAATTACAGCTGGTCAAACACCTCGCCGTCAAACACTTGTCTGTTTTAGAATATAACCTCTTGATAGTTGTCTGCATTTGTCCATAAACAGCCCACGCTAGGCTAACTGACATACTAGTAGATGATCAGATTAGATTGATGTGTACAGCACGCCGTCAATAGCGAACGTATTAATACCCGTACTACCAACCACTTGGGATTCCTGTGTCTTGGTATTAAATCTCTCCACAGTCTTCACTCCCAGACCTCCAAAACAGTAGATATCGTTACCTTGGGCAACAGCCGCAAAGTCATTGCGCGCCTCG